TCGGCCGGCCTGGGAGTAGTCGCAGATTTGCGGTGGGCTGGTAGGGAAGCTCCCCCAGGAAACAGCTGCCGCGTTAATGCTTTAAAGCAGCGTGTGGTAGACAGGCCACGCAACCGTCAGTCCGATACGGAGCCAAATACTGTTACAGCTTACTCAGCACGAGGCTGATTAATAATTAAAAGCAAGCGATGGATTCGGCATCGAGCAGCGCGGGTTCACAGGACCTGGTCTTGTCAGGCTACGCTGGCTGGGCCGCTGCGATCGAACCACCTCTTTGTCGGATTCAGCTAACGTCAGTGAAACCCGCCTTGCTTAGCGCGTCTAGAAGCGGGCAAGCAGCACGCATTTCTCTGCCTAAATGCACGTTGTGCGTTGAACAAGGGCAGTAAGGCCACATTTAAAGGCTGGGGCGCTGTCCTGGGAGACAGTGACGGAGGAGAAGGTGGGCCTCTCGGCGAGCGGCGGGGAGGTGGCCGGGGGCGACAGCGGTCAGGAACTAGCGTGCTGCTTGGTTTTACGTAAACAAGCATACAGAACAGAGAAGTTGTATTACCTCAGCGTTTGGCACTGCTACATCTGTAGCCGCGTTTATTTCAACATCCACAATTTGAGAAAAACATCAATTAACTGGAAGAGGATCCAGAGAAGAGCCACAACAACTAGTGAAAACAGCTTATAAAAAAAAAAAAAGATTTCCTATGTGTGTAGATCAACAGTGAAAACTGAAAGACTTGACTGTATTCTTTAATGAGCAATTGCTGGGGAACAGAAATTTAGTAAGAGCTCTTCCCTTTCATAGAGACTGGCATGACGAGATCTAATAGCTTTCACACAGTTCTGTGGTTCTAAAATCAAAGTATCCTAGTTGACGTTTTCCACATTTGTTCATCTCAGATGTGCTTCGTATTTCAAAGTCTCATAACAACTTAATTCAAACAATATAATTTGAGTTTTGGGACCAAAAAGACTGAAACAACCAGAACAGTTAAGTAATCAAGAAGCTATTTCAGTGCTGTGCCTCTGCTTCTATT